GCACAAGGAATGGAACATTTTCGATCCGTTTTCTTATGCTTATGCTTATACTTATGTTGTGAATACTTGAGTGTGAACCGGGCATACATAAGCATAAGCGTAAGCATAAAAAGTTTTCTTGTCAGCGGAATACACAAAAATAAAATCCAGGCCCGCTCTGTCAGAATCTGTCAGCTGAAAACATGGCGACGCAGGTGAAGGAAAAGTTGGCCGAATTAATCTGTCCGCAATTATTCTTGTTTGTACGACAAAATAAAATCTCTGTCTCCCAGTTTTAATTCATGTACAAGGTTATAATATATCGCCTTGTGTCTTTCTTCTCGTAAAAATGTCTCTTATCCAGACCTTTCTCGGTTTCTTTGTGTTTGTCTTTGCATAAGCAATCTTCTTCGATTCCTACGGCTTAACAGTAGCAACAATCCAATTTCGACTTCGTTATCCGCCATCTTTGATTCCTGAGAGGTGAACTGCGCCTGCGCAATAGCCATCCTTATGCTTATGCTTATGTACCCCGGTTCACACATGTTTTTCTTATGCTTATGTTTATGCTTATGCTTATGCTCATGTCAAAGTGTGAACCAGCCCTAAGCCGTGATGTTTCCGTTGTAGTTTGCATTAGCTCTTCACAGTAGCAACCTCTCGAGGGCTATATAGACTGATATCTAAACATGAACGGACTGGGGCCAGGGGCCAGGAAGCCGTGCCCTCAACCCTTCTGTTTTAAAATAATTATGATCAACAGTCTTTCCAGTTGTATCGGACAGTGAGCGTTTTCTTTTCTAGCTATGAGGCGATCGAGGCTGCGCTCTCCCTAAAACACCGTATTCCTTTGTTGAACACACCACATGGACGCCTATTGTGCGTGTAGGCTGTACCTTATTCAGTTGTAAAAATTTGCACAACAAAAGCGACAAAAACAACGACAACATTTTTAGTCATACCCAACATTAATTACATCAAGTTAACTAATAATCGCAACAAATTTCAAAAGCATACTGGCTGCCCTGAGTAACGGGTTAGAGGAATTTTCTCCCCCAGCAGTCTGTAATACAGCTACCACTGAATCTTTGCAGTGGCGACTTTATATTGATCGACGCTCAAGGCGATTGCACGTTTTTTGCAAGCGCAATTCAACATGGCTGGGAAATTAACAGCTATTGACATTTGCATTTGACAGACGTAGATTTTTCAGGAAGGCCCTTGTCACCTCAGCTGCACTACAAGGGATCGATTTGAAACGTGTTAATGGCTTGTTGTCAATATCTGCAAAAATAACAGTGGTAAAAACGGCGAACGAAGTCAATCTCTGCTTTGTACCATAACGAAGTCGATGTTATACGTGGCGAAAGTTTGTCACAAGGTGTTACAGAAAAATGTGCCCTTTGCTGTATACGGGAAATAAACTGATTACTTGTTAATGAGGCAGGATTATGACTGAGATAAGGCCAGAATTTCGAGTTAGTTTCAAACCCAAATCCCTTGGGATCTCAGTTAAACTGAATTTGTTTTGCCCATGTAAGATCATTGCTTTTTTGTAGTAGAACTAACGGTTTGCCTTTCCCTGTGAAAACCTTATCAGCACTAGAGAACGCAATTCCAAGTCATTTTGTTAAATCTGTCAGAAGCAAGCGAATAAAAATCGAGATAAGGTTACAGACCGCTAAACTAATTAATGCATTTAATAACCCTTCACTAAGTTTTGAGTTTTTATCGAGACAACACCACTACAGTATTTGCATCGAGCCTGAAACGATGGGTTTGTAGGAGGAGTAGAGCGGTATATAGTAAGTACAAACAAGTTTATTTATATGGAACATCATTGAAAACAAAGATAACGTAAAAGAGAAAAAACGACAGCTTGATACACAAGATTGTCTTTAAGTCCTCTTCTAAAAAAAATAATGCATTCATTATCGAGGTTTGAAGGGAAGGTTTTCAATCCTGGGCTATTTTGCAAGTGAATCAGTTTACTTGTAGCGCATTGCGTTGAAAAACATTTCGTTATTTCCAAATACATTTTTCCCCTGAAGGTTAAATTTAAAATAAAACGTATCAGCTTTTATTATCTACTTCGTTATAGCCTTTAGTTAGCTGAGAAACTGAGACGTCATTCTGTTATCCGTTGTACTGGTATATTCACCTGCGAACGAAATTACAAAGCGCATTATTTAGTTTATAGCGAGTTTGCAGGTAAAAAGTACTTTGAAACCCTATTGTGTATTATATATCAACTTGAAAAGAAATTTACTTTGCAACCGATAAAAAAAAAGAAAAAAAAAAAATGAGCAGAGAGTTTTTTGCTTTATTGAGAATTTATTTTGGATTTTCCTTTTGTTCTTTTGTAGTGGCTGTAGTAGCTTTTTTTTGTGACTATATTTCGGAACCTTTGGCTTTTCATTATATTATTAGTAGTTGTAGTAATAGTAATTTTCTCTTGATTTTCTATCCCACAGGTTTTGTCTCTAGTCAGCCTCTTTTTTAAAAAACTTCGGAGGAAAAACGAAAGGTTAAAACTGAAATTCTTGAATCTCTTTTTCAAATTAGCTTCTATTTGCTTTTGGCTTTAAAGGCAAACAACAAGTGAATGTGTGTCTCAAATTAAACAAACGTACGCCCACAAATAGATCATGCAAAGCTACACCCAAAAGAATCAAAATATGTAATTCTGGTATCCCTGAGCTTTAAAAAACCAAAACTTCAAAAACGGTCCACACAGAATGATCAACTCGTCCAGGAGAGAAGATTCAAGAATTCCAAGCACAACTGTTTTTCTTGTCAAAACGTCCGTTTCCTCAAAAATACATGCGCCTGCGTTAGAAAACCTTCCAGAAATACATCGAGACGACGGGCTCGCGTCGGTGACAGCAAAGTCCTCCAGTTTTTAGAGATATCTCTGAATAAAAAGGATTTGAAGGCGGCGAGGCACGTAGCAAGGCTTTGTTTGTTTTTATGAATTGAGGGTGAAGTTCAGTCGGCGAGCAATGAACATTTCCTAAAGCGAGAAAATGTGTAAGTCTTGAACAGATAAGAACGGGCATGATGAACTTCACAATTTCCGCCATTTGCCTGTTTGGTAATTTATGATGTTTTCCTTGCTTAGAAAAAATAAGCACAAAAGGAAGGAAAACAATGAGAGGGATAAGACAGGAACAAGGTTATCAAAAACGGGAAAACAAGGTGTCAAATAGATGATAGCAATTTGAATGAACCAATCTAGATAAAATGGATAACATGGATGAAGTTACCAGGGAAAGCACTATCTGTTCCAAGTTATGGCAGTCATAAGAACTATGTTTTGTTCCGTTTTCGCAGAACATACTTTTTACGGCTTCAGTGTCGATAGATTCATTAATTTATTTTCATATTTATTAATTTATTTTCATCAGCCCTCCCATTAAACTAATCATTGAATTACATCCGTTGAATTCACGTTATTCCCGGCCGACAGAGAGGTGAAGAATTGGTTGCCAAGGACATCGTGTTGACAGCTCTTTTCTTTATTAGTCCCCAGTTTAGCATAAAGTTATTATTTACATATAATTTTTCCATTTTTCTTTTCTACATGGAGATTTATTTTCAAGCTTCTTTGAATATTTTTGTAATCCATCGTCAAAGATGCCAGACGGCATACTTCGAAATATCTAAGATCAACGTATCTTCGCGCAGTAGCACATCCTAATTCATATTCCCCTACCAAGCCTCTTTATTCATAAGAAGTACTGAGTGGATGGCCTTATTGATCAGGATGTAAATACACTAACTTTGAAGATTTTCGCAACACCAAGTTCCATTCCCATTACTTTCAATATCTCCATCACTTCTCAGGACCCTGAGAGAGAAAGACGTGACGTGACAAAAAAGAGCACGTTCTGGCTACGACTATTACAGTAATGACGTCAGTAAGTCGGTCAGAAAAAAAAAATCAGAATGAGACCATGTTTTAATTGTTTTGATATTTTCTTACTTTTTTTGGACTGACAAGCTTAGCACCACAATTAGTATCTTGCTTATTTGTTTATTTGTTTTGCTTTCATGATTTTCGCATATGTTGGAGATGTTGTAATTTTCAATTGTTCTGGCAAAAGACCAGAGATACGTTACATTTTTTTTTTCTAAAGATTTACACGATCTCTTGCCAGCTGGGAGGAAATTTTTCTTTTACGAGGATATGAACCTATAGCAGCAATACGGCGGAGTTTATTTTCCGGTTCCTATCTACCGGGTAGATAAATATGGTAAAACCTTTCAGCTTAATCTTATGCGCATCGATATTGGTAATTTCCATTTTCTAAAAAAAAAAATTTCAATACGTTGCTTTTTCTGCGGATAGCACCAATTTTAAATTTTAATTAAGTATGAACGCAATCCAACCACTGTAAACGAAACCTGTGTAGTCTGAAATATATATATATTTATCTAAATATGCAGGAACGTCGCTCTGCCATTGCTCAGGTCTAGTTATATCTATGTAGGTAAAGGTAGGTATTACAACATAATGTGACAAAAATTAATTTTCTTCTCGTCAACAGAGAGCAGTTGTTTAATTAATGGTCTGACAGATAGCTTTCAAACTAAATACAATTTCGTAGTGCGTGAGTAAAGGTTAAGGAACATTTCATCTTCGTGAATTAATTAATCGTGCCTAGGTAACGGTTGAAAAGATGGGGAAAAGTAATTATCTAAAAACAATCATGATCCCTTTATAATTTTCATGTATTTTGTTATGGAAATTTTTTTTTTTTCCTATGTTGGTTATCTTGTAGCATACCTTTTACTCTAACGTCATTTGGTAGTGAGATTTTTTTTCCATTTTGGCTATCTTTTAACTATTCTTTTTTAAAAGAATACCATGCAAATGAACCAGAGAAAGTTCCATTAATGCGCACGTTAAAAAATTTAATATGAAATGCTTTTTAACTGGAGTATTGGTTTTGGCGTATATTATTCAAATTGGAGTTCCACTTCTTTGCTAAATATACGTATGGCCAGATCAGAGTTATGAATCTTACCCCTTGAGCTTTCAAACGTTTTGCTCTTAATTCGCAAAGAAGAGTTGTTAAGAGTTATTATTGGAACAGAATATTAGTCTAACACACTAAAGTGAGTTTATCATGAGGAAATGGGTCGAGTTCCTTTGTTTTTACAACGAAAAGATTTCAAGGAAATTAACATCACAAAACAAAGTAAGTGTCCAAACAAAATGTCATCTGAAAGTAGGATGTTGCCATTTCATTGCGTCAGCATGATATTATCTCTGTGACTGAAAAACGCGATCACGTTCTATATCAAACTCTTAATTTTGCTCTGATCCAAGGTGAAATAGTCTTCTACATTCTAAAGCAAGCGAAAACTCAGCTAATGAAAATGGATGGAGCTGGAAGGATTTGGCTGCTGTTTGCTACACTAATTGTCCCTCTGCTTTCCTTGGGTGAGTGAAACAACCTGTGAGTGAAACCTTATTACTACCTATAACAAACGTTCGGTGATATTAATTACTACAACATTTTAATGAACTCTGCAAAGAAATAATGGATGAACAACCAGCATGTTAACGCTCGCATCAAATATACTTTTCTTGCTAAATATGTCATCGGTGGTCAATGTAGAAATCTAAAATTTCCCTTTTAATGGATCAATAAAAGGCATTTTAAACATTTTTTTTGTTCGCGTGGCTAAAATCCATAATCTCTCTCTAGAAGTGCAAAACCGATCGAGTCCATTAAGACTTTTTTTTCTAATTTTCTTTTTATTATTATTTAATAATAATAATTACTTGGACTTCTGCGTTTTAAAATAACGGTAAACGAGGCTGTAATATATTTTAGCTAACTCGGTTTTGTTATTGCATGAGAGAACTCGCGAGTTGATGCAATCACAATTTCTTTTTCCTTAAAAGGTACTTCCTGCCCTTTGCGAACAATATTAGTGATTACTACATCTTTCTATTTAAGCAGCTCAATTTGATTTAAATGACGGAATATATTTGCATAAGGTGGTGAGAGCAGTTATCGTTTAATCTTTGTTATTACTACGCTAATAACACAACTGAAAGGATCAGGAGATGTGATCAATCTGTACGACACTAACATCGCTAGTCCAATATGTTTCACATATTACGTCATCCAAGCCTTCTTTATAGTAACTTCAACAAGTCTACACACGGAAAATTTGAAAACTTCTACAAATGCCTGTTCGTTACGTTTGCCAAACGCGGTTATTGCAGAGCAGGTTTTTGTTAGGATTAATTGAGCTCATTGGATTGAAAAACCTTTTCTTTTGTTCTCCTTGTTTTAGTTCAGTGGTTTGATACTTTCGTGTCCACTGGACATTCAAAGTTTATATATTCAATCTCTTATCAAATCCGCCGTGTGCCTGGAACCGTAAAGGAACAATATCGACTCTCTTCCCTTTTAGCAAGTGGCCTCTCTGTACTCGGTTTGCACTGCGAGTACCTCGACGTAGACACGTATTTTCTTGTAAGGGTTTTCCTGCTTCTAGTTAATAGCCAGGCAAATATTTTTTTTCTTAAATTATAAAGAAAGCTCAATGTAAAAAGAAAAAAAAAACCTTTCAAAGCGAGAAAAGCATATTAGTGCGAAAGCTCTCAATAAAATAAAAAGTCAACAAATGTAAAAATGCTCTTCCTTGAGTTTGCTAGAGTGTTTGCAATCCATGTTGTTCTAAATTAGTATGGGTGTACAATTTCGTGTGTCATGATCGTAAGCTTTTGTTATGCATTATTGTTCTTTAGGCTCAGTTTAAAAGACTAACTTGAAAAATAACACTGTTAAAGCATTTTTTACAGAGTATTGTCCAGCGGTTTCAAACTTTGGGCTTCAATGGCCACGAATCGCCCGAGGAGAAAATATCACCAATGATTGCTCGGCAATAAATTCTTCCTGGACAGGTACGCGCAGAAAGTTGTTATCGTTTCTTTAAGAGGATAAAGAGACTATAGGTGACACTTTTTCAACGCCTTTTATAAAAAAAATCTGTTACTTCCCTTTTTCAACTTACTTTCTGTAATGCCCTATATTACGTGTGGCAACGAATCTTTGCAAACGAAAGCTATAACAATATAACGGACTTTATATTGCGCTCAGGCATGGCATACATTTCTTTGTTAGTGTGGGGTCCCATATTTTTATGAGTTTGCAACGGGTTCGTATAAAACTTCGTAGATTTACTAAACTCGGTAAGATAAATTGAACTATGAAGGTGATTTTTTTTCTGTTTATTTGAAAATTAACCAAAAAAAACAGTTGATAGGTCCATTCAATTAATTAATTGTAATTACTTTTACTCTGAAGATGACGAATGTCCTCGAAATGTGTCTGTAAAATGTTTTAATTCCACAACTATGCAGTTCCTGACCGTTGAGTCGCATTAATGCTAAACCATACTCCTAAATTCTTAATGCAGGTAAACTTACCGCCAGATGTATGAAAAATGCAGCTGGAAATGTTACATGGAATTATCTACAGGGTTGTGGATGTGAGCTACAGACAGTTCTTCTACACTACCAAACGCAGGTTTGTCGATCAGAGCNCCCCCCCCAAAAAAAAATGTTGCAAAAATAACTTACGTTTCTCTATGTAGGTGGCATTTGCTTCGACCCCTCTCCTCTGAGTCATTCGGAAAGAACGGAGGGCCCATAGACAGAGCAAAATTTACCTGTGTAAACTGTCAATGTGAGGTCATTACCTAAGAAATGTCACAAAGCTTTTATAACTCAATCTTAAATTCATCTAGGAAGGTAAGAGGCGCAATTGTTTGAAACAATGTGGTTTCAGTGCTAAGATCATTTTATCAGCCCTTACTAGTTATAATTGCTTTTAAGCGGGTTAGTGGTTACCTGGCGACATTAAAAAAAAAATTGAAAATGGTGGATCTAAGATGGCCGTAGTGTGATATTATGACAAATTTCTTACGTCATATGACGTAAGCATACACTTTATCTGCACCCTCCAAGGAAACATTTTAGACTAAAATACATCCACCCAGGTTCAATGACGTAGCTTCAGTGCGTTGCATAGAACTATAATTTTTGGGAGTCCAGCACTGATGGTGATACGAGACACACCAAATGTTTTCAACAGGGAACATTATTTAAGAAATAGAACATATGTAGAAACACGAGAGGAAGCTCAGGAGAACGAGAAATGCTGTGGGAACACGAGACGCGGGCGAGTGTTTCCACAGCTTTTTCGAATTCTCCCAAACTTTCACGAGTGTTTCTATAACTCGATAGAAACACGGAGAACATATTTTCTATTTCTTTTAGAAAACACCGCGACGAAAAAAAGAAAAACAACTTGATAACTTTGATTACCAAAATGTAAATTCTCTTTCCACGCGCCATCATTACGTCAACAGGTCGTGCTTGTTCTGTGTTTCTATCGAGTTAAAGAAACACGATTTTCAACCAATCAGCGCGCGTATTATCTTAGGACTGTTTTCTAACTCTTAATAATTTCCATATCATTAACGATTGCTCTTATTTGTGCTCTAGGCATCCCAAGTCAACATGGCTAACTTTCTGGAGATCGTCAAAAAGCTTGAAAATGCTTACAAAGACTTCATCAATCAGAAAATATATTTGGCTCTTCTGTCGACGGTAAAGAATTCCATGTGCAAGAGAAGGCCATTGCGTAAAAGCGCGGAATGGGATAAAATACAGAAATATTGTCAGGTACATTTAATTATAGGTATTATTCGCCTTAACTACATAGTGAAATGCTAAACACACAAAATTTGAAGTAATTAAGGCTCTCCCTCAATAATTTCTCGGGTGAATATGTGAAGAGAAAGAAGCGAACAACCAATAGTAATAACACGAAACACTAGCTGGATAGTATCCAACATTTAATGTATTTTTAAACTAACATCTGAACTGTTTGTTTGCTTCTTTATTCGTTTGTACGAAATCTAGCTGTTATTTTATTTTATTTTGCGAGCTCTAGACAAGGTCTATATGTGCACTTCCAGTTCTGAAAATATTTCCCTTAAAAAAAATAAAAGCTTTGTTTCAAAAGCTTTTCGCACCATTCAAAAAAATTCCTTATTTGCCCATAAAAGGTGTTTGGCGTGCAATTTTGCATCCTTCAAAAGTTCTTACTTACGCAGTTGAAGTAATGCTTTTTGAGTTACAAATTGAGGGCCTCAAAAGCCCCCCTCTCCTTCCCCACACACTCTCTCCCCTCCCCGCAACTCAAATAGAAATCAAAAAAATCAAACGTAAAATATATACCTGTTTTCTAGTTTTCAGCGATTTTCTTAGCCATCGTTTTTGGCTTTATTGTTTTTGTTTGTTTGTTTGTTTGTTTTTCTTGCAAGTACTCATAATTTTAGAATTGAATACTATATTAGCAAAATTAAACTATTTTTTAATTCACCAGATGCGTCCAGACGATTTTTGGGGAAGGATCCTTTCTGATCACTTTAAAAAGCAATTTTGCCAGAAAATTGCAACGGCAACGTAAGTACTATTTATATTTGAGAATTTTAAATTTTGCTTTAAGAACAAACAGCCTTGGCTAGAATATTAGTATATATATTTATATATTTCAGGTCACTGTTTTCTTTTCCTATAACATTCCTTTATACAAGCAGAAAAATGGGTCAATTGTCTTATTTTTTTTGCTAGATTATTATTTTTTTTAATTTCGTTATGTATTTGATAAGAAGGAAAAGATCGAGATATTTATTGAAAATTCTCTACTAGGGGCAAGTTCTTTGCATATGGAATATCATCATTTGAAAAATATACTAAAATGGCTTCTTGAATCCTGCCCAATAAATGTGGTCAGGTCGACGAAATATGTTTAATAGCAGAGCTCCGGTGGCCCGAAGGGCCGCCAAGCGGAGCCTCATACTCATATGGGAAAGAAAGAGAAACCCATGAATGAATTTTCTCGTGGTTCTTATGACTAGCGGTATTGCTCGTGTGCGTGTACGCACGACGACGACGACGACGACGACGGCGGCGGAGTTGCCCAACATGGCGGACATACTCTAGCCAATAGGTTGACAGAGACATGCACCCTCGGTTTGTAGCGTAACTCTTTGATATTGGACATCCATGTTATGGTCTATTGCCATCTGTCAAAACAAGGTATCCGCTGACCAGTATCACGTGGCCATATCGCGGGCCAAGTTAAAAGCTCATCGAGGTCACGTGCTTTTTTGAAGTTAACCGCTGACTAAGTGCTGGTTTCGATTAGATCGCGGGCTCATGTCAGGTAAAGGTGTTATGGTACCCTCGAATGGACCAAAAAGTTTGTTTAAATATGGCGAGGAAAGATCAATTGTGTGCTATTGTACTCAAGAAGAGAAATTAAATTTCTAGTGTTTTACTCAAAATGGTTGCTATGGAAACCAGCCACAGCCTTATGAGGAGGTATTTTACAGTATTGACGCCAACACTTCCTGCTCTTTTATAAAACAAGATTTGACTGTCAAATAAGCATATCGTGTAGTTTTCTGTTTTGTTCCGTACAATGAACCTAAGTTTTGACAGTTAACTCTTATTTCAGTGCTTTTCACAGGCTTTATTTGGAAATAACTTTATTTTTTACCACACCCGGTGGATAAATCATCTCATGTCACGTGACAGACGTTAAAATGTCACGATTTTTTGGTTTATAACATCACGACACTATTGGTCTTTGATGAGCCCAAGTTTCGGGAATTCTACTTAAAAACCTTGCAAAGTAGAAATGTTGGCGCGAAGTCAGTCGGTACAAAAGTAAACTTTTGAGAAAAATGCACTTTAAGTTTCTTACACGAAGTATTAAGCATTTAACGAGCCACAAATAGCGGGTGGGGTGCAGATTGGATCTCGGGGGAGGGGGTGCAATGGTTGTTCTATTTTGTAAAAAGATACCGCAGTTGTGGGAAATATTCCTTTTCATAAGGAAAATGAATGAGCCTGTGATGGCAAAGCTTTTCACAACTAATCATACCAATGGAGTTGTTCATGTCTTTAAAGTTTTTACTAAATAGTTTGGTTCATATTTGTTAAAACTAAACTATATTTTTGGTCACGTTCTTATAGCAAGCAGTCGTTGCTATGGCCGTTGCTACGTGAAAAAACTTATATTACTGAGTACTTTCCTTAAATTTCACACTCATCTCGAAGAAAATTGGGCAAGATCGTTTCAGAGTTTTTTTTTTTTTTTTTGACAAGTCCTCAAAGGTCTTAAGTCTGGTATTTCCAAGAAATTGAATTTTTCATGAACATCGCCATATTCTAGGGTACCATACCCCCTTAACTTGCTAGCCGGGATGCTCGGAAGTCGGTTAACGCTAACCCAGGATTATAAAAGTTAACCGAAGTATAATTTTTCTTGTATACAAACGTTTTTCACTGCTTTTTGTGTATTTTGAGGACCTTGAGATAATTGAAACTCAAAACAGAAGGCCAAACAACAGAAGTGGAAAACTCCACCGTAAAGTTTCAAAACTCAAATTAAAATTTTCGCCTATCTTGGGTTAACTTAATCGGGCTTTGAACAACCCGGCCAGAAGCTCCCCTTTTAGGCTTGGCTAAATTTATATATTACTCTTTGGAGACTTACACCGGAACTTCTTTTCATACTGTAATGCAGATCGAATCTACATACTGGTTTAGTTATAACATCTTATGAGGGATCACGACCTAAACCAAACGCTGAAGGGGAGGCAAACGTGGAGCTTGACGAATCTTCTTCTCAAGACAACAGGACACAAGTAAATTCGCTATTCACACTTTTAGTTACCTAGGGATAATTGGAAAGGATCGACTTGAATCAACTCTGCTTTAATTGATAATGCATCCGAACGTTGTCAGTCTGCCACATGAGCGTGCATTTGTGAAAGCATAAGTCAGGTGTCTTAAATCTAGATTGTCCCAAATATCGACAAACTAAATCACTACTTGGTAAAGTTCTCGTTGAATCATGCTGAAATATGCCAGAGCCACAGTAGCAGAGTAGAATAGCAACGAAGGTGGAAGGATTGACGCCATGAAAAGCCATATGAATCCGCGATTGAATTTTGAATAACAACATTATTATTTTCTCCACATCACCACCTGAATTCAAGGCATCAAAAACAAACCCTAGACTTCAGTTGGTTAATGCCGGACGGTTTGACTGTGGGCTCACTGACTGACTGCTGACTGGCTGACTGAACGACTAAATGAATGAATGAACGAACGAACGAACAAAAGTACGAGCAAACGAACGAAAGAACGAAGAACCGTTTCCACTGTAGTTAACGATCCCAACTCCGTTTGCACTCTCAGATGGTGAATGACACTCTAGCAAGTGTGACTTCTGGTGGCTGCACAGTGACCAGTTATTACATGGTATGTAATTATGCTTTTTGCTGTTGGTTGGTTTTTGAGTTCAACCGGTGTCATTATAATAAGAATTACGCACGCTACTCATCTGGACAAAAATACGATAATATATATAATTCATTTTCAAACAATTAAACATGATGGGTCAGTTTTATATATTTTAATTTCTTTTCAATTTGACATCATCAAATTTTTGTATAAATGCTAACACCTAACTATAAATAACTCCTAAAGTTATTTTGGTAACAAGCTACCTCTAGTCCAAATCATGACAGCGTAAATAGGCTCAATTAGTTATTAGCGTAGAGTTTATGGTACAAATACACTTTAATTGTTGTAGTTGTTGTTCTTAATTCTTGCGTCGGTGTTTCGAGAGACGGTATCTTTGTGAATGTAACCGAGAAAAGTAGCGAATAACCAAGGCTTACATCATATCTTAGAGCTTTCAAAATGATGTGATTGTTCTTGATTGGGGTCATTCTTTTATGTTACAGGTTAACGGGACACTCGTGATAAAAGCCAAACCAACTTTGACAACGACGGATAAACACAGGACGATAAAAGAACGTCTTGAGATGGTTTTGATCTCTATTTCACTTGTGGCGATAATCTGTTCATTGACAATACTTTCATGTTTAAGGTAAACATGAATTAGTTGACCACTTGCGCGCTTGTTTGCTTGATTGGTTGTTTGGTTGGTAGTTTGGCAGGTTGGCAGGTTGGTAGGTTAGCAGGTTGGCAGTTTATTATTATTATTCATAGTTAGATATTTTTAAAATCATTGTGATTTATATTTTAATTGTTTAAGGGAGGGCCACGAGTTTATCAGTCAATGACTGTAAAGTGTTTTTACCCTCATTAAATAAAGTTACTTACTTACTTACTTACTTAGTTTGGTAGGTTAGTAGGTTGATAGGTTGGTACGTTCGCAGGTTAGTAGGTTGATAGGTTGGCAGGTTAGTAGGTTGATAGGTTGTAAGGTGGGTAGGTAGGTCGGTTCGGTGGTAAGTCGGTTCGGTGGTAAGTCGGTTCCTTGGCTGCTTGTTGCTTGCTTGATTATTGCTTGATTATTGCTTGATTGCTTGCTTGCTTCGTTGTTTGCTTGTCTGCTTGCTCTTTTGAATGATTTGTTTGTTTGTCTGTTTGTTTGTTGGCTGTTTTGGATGTTCTTGTTGTTGCTGTTGTTGATGATGAATGGTTATTAATTGAAGGTAAAGTAACGCAATGTTACAATTGATTTCAGATTTTGCATGCCTCTGCATTAGTTTTTAAGGTAAAGCAACGGCACATCTTTGAAATCACAATAATTTAGATTCCGTTCTCTTTTTGTCTACCCCACTCGAGGATACAGTCAGCGCAGAATTCTGAAAAGCTGTTTGTACACAAAAGCCTTCTCATCTCTTGGGCTCTTGGATACGCAGTTTACATTGCGGATGTGATAGCTTTCAACAACAGGAAAGAATGGATAGTAAGTACACACCGTATACAACTGTTCGAAATGCCTCGCCAGGTCCAAACAAAATTTGGTGATGACAATTTTAATAACTGAGTTACCTAGCCGGGATTAAGTACCATGTTCGGTGATCTCTTGTTGTAAGGGGTACGCGACAAATTCGTCGAATATACTTTTCCAATGAAGTAAAGATGGCAAACTGGTCTTCTTTAATCTTAGACTCTCGTAAAGCATCGAAAAACAAAATGTCAAAATCCCATTAGCTCGGGAAAAAGAAGTCCATGGCTTCCATCATTGAGTTTCATGACAAATTTTCTTTTTTCAAATGAACGCTATTCATTTCTCTTTAGTGGTGGGCATAAGGAAGAAGCAGTACTTATTGTCTTTATTCTCCATTCGCTATGGCGGCATTAAACACAAAATGTATTAAATACCCGTTCTCTTTACAGATTACTAACCGGTCCTCTCAATCTTCATCGCAAAACTCACTCTAAGTGGTTTAAAGTAGGCTTTCAGTGTCACGAATTCTTAAGAACGAAAAACTGTTCTCAGTTAGATCATATTTAATGATATTAAGAAAAACTAATGACATCATTTTCAAGTCAAAAAGATAAGAAATAAACCATCAGAAAAAGATTAACATAACAATTTTTTTTTTTCCCGGCAGTTTTTTTCTTATCTTTTTGAACTTTAGAATGGCGTCATATTTGTTTTAAATGAAACTCATGTTATAAATTATTAATTAAATTATACAAGACGCCACAAACGAAGCCTTTAAAATCAGAATGGTCAAGAGGCAACCTCGTATAAATTTAACTAAATTTCTAAATCCGCAGGCTGCCTGCACAGCGATTGCCGTTGTGCGCCATTTCTTTCAAACAGCAGTCTTCACATGGATGTTAGTGGAGGCAGTGAATCTCTTCATAAAGCTGGTTAAAGTGATATCAGCCAAGACCTTTTATATGACGTACCTTGCCATTGGATGGGGTAAGTAACTCTGGGGAGTTTTTTAAAGTTTACAGCAAGTTTATCTGAAAAGGAAAAAAAGCGTCAATTGACAATAAGAGCAATGGTATTTAAAAGAAGGACGCATATCGAAATAATAAATGCATACGTGTAGAGTAAATGGTATGTTAGGCTGCAATAATTTGTTTCAATCTGACAGTCTTATTGTGTTTAGCCTTTTTTTCTTAATATCGCACGAAAAACCACCACTGGAATTTTCTACGTGCAAAAGCTTAAGGCTCGATTTGATACTAAGAGTAAGTAAAATTACAGTCGACCTCCGATAACTCGAAGCCTCGCTAACTCGAACCTCGGGCTAACTCAAACTAAAATCGATTTCCCCTGGATTTCCGTCATACATATACTGTAATTTTACCCTCGGTAACTCGAACCCCCGATAACTTGAACCTCCCGCTAACTGGAAGCAATTTCAGTTTCCCTTCAGGTCATTTTCTATATAATTTTACCCTCGATTACTCGAACCATGTCTGTCAATACGCGACATGTACAAGTCAAAATAAACAGTGTACTGTATCCAAAGCATTAAATTTATTTTGAAGCAGACATGTGAACTTTTTCCTTTCTTTTACATTACACAAACCGTGTCAGTTCAGTTCAGGTTCCGCTGGTTTCACAAAGTGTTCCTTCTTAACTCCTTTTTCCAAACGTCGGTCAATTGTTCTCAACTCCCGATAACTCGAACTCCCAATAGCTCGAACCTTTTTTTCAATTTCCCTTGAAGGCTCGAGTTATCGAAAGTCGACTTTATCTTGGGATGCTGCCCTCTTGAGAGACAACAGGCAGCTAATATATCGATCTAGCGTTAACCGAGAACCTGATAGAAAGTGATACTTTTAACAAGGCAGTTATTTCTTTCAGGCATCCCAGCTCTGATTGTCGGTATAACGGCAGCTGCAAGAACCAAAACATACGACATGAGCCAAGACATGATTGAGGACATCTGGTGTGGATCAATTAAATTCGCTGCAAAAGTGGAGAGAACCAGGCATGTGCTTGATAAAGTTAAAACAGAACGAGAGTAACAGTAGAATTGGGAAGAACAGTCTATACATGTATACCTTTGTTTCCTTTCGTTTTTGTGTCGTTGTTGTTTTTGTTTTCTTTTTTCTTTGTGCTTGTTTCGTTTTGTTTACTTACTTTATTTTGCAATGATAAACAAACTTATCAATTTGTCGTGATATTCACAAAGAAGATAACGGCTTTTAAAGGGGAACCGCGGCACTATCGTGAGTAAGAATGATCTCAAAAAATCTAGAAAAGTTAAAACCTCAAAGACATTTCTGGTGATGGAAGCTTAAATACAATGATGTTTTTTTTTTTTTTGTTCAAAATAAGTGTATAAGTGCATTGAAGCTATAAAAGGAGTGATGTAATGATCGAAGCGTGACAAGGTTTTCATGTCAAATTGTAAGGCCCCGTCCACAAAATGGCGGAGTAATTTGAAAACGGAGATTTCACTCTGAAAACGCATCAAATGTGTTCGGTTCACACTACGTCGGAGGAATTTAAAAACGCAACAATCACTGGACACTCCGCATTCGAGTATGAGGAAACCTCGGGGAGGGAAATACCATGATGTTTCCGTCCAAACTAAAACGCAAAGTCGGCGTTTTCAATTTCCTCCCTTTTCGTAACTGATTAGTGTGAACAGTAGGCCTCACCTGGGAAATCAAGCTCCGCTTTCAAATTTCTCCGTCGTGGTGTGGAAGGGGCCTAAAATTCTCGACGACTTTAATTATTAAATTCTGTCCTCTTGACCTAGAGAAAGTGATAAAAACTGATAACAACAGGCTGCTCTTCCTTTAACAATTCACTAAGTATCTTCATCCGCGTGTTCTAAAAGCATTTCGTGCACCAGCGAATGTACTCACTCATAATTACAACACTATTTTAACCAAAACTGCAGCTGCAAAATCTCCGTCGTAGTGTCATTTTGATGCCCATGACAAACTTCAAGTAGTATATCAAACACGAGAGACAGTGTTTCATCGGGATATCCAAACGCCGAGAAGACGACGCGCAGTGCAGTATTTTTGACGAAATTCGAGGTGTTTGGATTGCCAATGAAACACTGTTTCGAGTGTTTGATATATCTTCTCAATCGAAACAAAAACTAAGGAGTAAACGGAGAAGTAAAATCGTCAACATCTATGCTAATTAAGACCGGGTATCCAAACCTACTTCCCGGTTGTGATTTTCTTTGCTTTATCTTGATGAACTATTAATGAGTTTGAGAATTTAACTTCAAACTTCAACACCACCGCTGCCCACCACCGCATAAATGTACCGCTCAATGGCTTTAGTTTGAATGTCAACCTTTGGGGGATTTCAACACGGAATGTAAGAACGTACACTTTGTACAGCACAATAAATGAACCATGTAAAAGAACTCAAGATTAGTTTCGAGATCTAGAAATAAAAACGCTATATTCCACGTTTACACTCTATTGTATATTCATATAGTTGCTGGTTGAACGGCAGTAAGTGGCTCTATACAGGACCGGTCTTTGCAATTCTTCTGGTATGTATTCTCATTAGATGTAGCTGTGCTATCTCTTCCCCTTTCTGATCTTCGCTCCATTATGATCTCCTCATCAGTTTAATTAATAGAGCTGATATCTGAGTGTCACTTTCCTTGCAAAGGGTCATCTGAGTAAAATATGATTCTATTGTCGGTTTTTACGTTCTTTTTCACCGGTTGAATGTTCAGTCTTTTGTTCAATTTTAATAACACGACATGTCAAAAGACAAAATCAGCTAAAAGTGACGCGACAGAGCCACTACAAGAAAGTCTATGGGTGCGTTCCTTTGGAGTAATCTGGATCAGGATCAGTGCTCCAAGATCTGTCTGGATCAAAGTGCATCAAAAAAACCGATGAATCCGTGACCAGAGTGGATTCATCGGTTCCTTTGATGCACCATGATCCAGACAGATCTTGGAGCACTGATCCTGATCCAGATCACCTTAAAGTAACGCACCCATATCTTCAAAGACCTTACAACTTGTTTTCTTTTTACACTTTAATTTACTGTATGCTATTGTTGCAGATTTCAATTTACTGCAATAAGCGAATATGCGACTTCTTGTTTATTTTTTCAGGTCAATCTAGTTTTCTTTGTTATACTGCTTAAAGTTGTGTTTGGAAAAGTGGCCACTAAATACAGCAATGACCAGATGATGAAAACAAGGTAAGATATACAGTAAACTGTTCTGTAAAATTAAATGATTCCCCGTTTTGTATGAGCCAAATGGGTATAAGAAAACTTCCCAAAGGTGATCAACGTTTGCTGCTTAAATTGGGTTGATGCTCGCAGAAGGTTCAACTGCAGTTGGTTCAAAAGAAGCTTCGTGGTTTTCTTGTCTGTGTAAAAGTGCGACACTCGTTAAGAATTTTTAAAGGAACCCATAGAAGGAACCAGAATTGCATTTTGGCAGGTTCGAATTCATTTTCAATTCTATACAAACTCTTTCTGAAAGGTACGTTGTTCATATTGTACACGTAATGTGCCGGTCAGAAATTAAACAACTCTAACTAAGGTCCTTTTCAATTTAGCCGACAAACGAAGCGGTACCAAACGCGGTCTTTAACGCCCCAAAATTATGACGAATACTCTCGCCACTCTTATATTCACTTTTTGGGGGGCTGGGAGGGGTTAACATATGTTTTAGAATATTATCGCAACTGTGCGGTGACCTTTTATATTTGTAAAAAAAAATTATTTATTCTTTTGTTATTACTCAGCTAATTAAGTCAATTATAATTCAAATCACAGGAAAGGACTAAAGAGTGTGGCCGCCTTGCTTCCTTTATTGGGTGTCACATGGTTATTTGGGTTGATCATAGAGTTTCATGAGGTATTGGCCTACATCTTTATTTTGTTGACGTCAACTCAGGTTCGTGGAACTATTCCGTACAAGGATGAATAAGCAGTTATAGCAGCTCTCCATTAGCGCCCGTGAATTACCTTATATGCGCTTATAAACGCTAAGTGAATTAGCCCATGATCAGCTCTTGTACCGTGTGTCATTTTTATTTTACTCTAGCTTCTGCTATACGTTAGTGAACTAGACAGAACAGGAATGTCTAGAGGAGTTAAAACTAAAGGCATAAACTTTTTCCTCCATTGGACCTTAACAAAAGGCTTTTTGAGAATTAATTAGAAAAGATAACCTTGATATACGTTTGTCGGAGGCAATTTCTTGCACAGAGACGGGTGTATGACCACACTCCAAACACTTCGAAGTTCGTCAAAAATTTCAACTCTCCTCGCGGCGTTTGGAAATGTGGTCAAATACGGTCTTTCATGTTTGATATATTACTTCCTAAGTTTTTCGTAAGCAGCTTGGTCAAGAAGGCTTCATGCATTTGTTACTATATTCGGATTGTTTGATTGTTCTCATACAGGGAATTGTTTTCTGCATCTTCCACTGCATACTGGATGAGCAGGTTTGATCCTCTTTCTACCTTTTAAAAGCCCATGATCCAGGAGTATTGTCCTAAAACATTCATAACCTTTCAGTCATTTCATTTGCCACATGCCAATATGATTCTGCTTCGCAGATTTTACATCAAACAATATTGCTCTTACCATTTCAGGTGCGACGAACAATAAGCCGCAAAGTTAACACGACAATCTTTATACACAAGGTAATACTCCACAAAAGCCGCTCTTTGGTGTTTTCTTGTCTGTGGTTGTGACTCTCGAATGTACGAAGAATGTTTTTACTGTTAACGTTTAATTTGGTATTTTATTGTTTTTTGGTTGCAGAATGTTTCTCCAGGCAGACGAGGAAACGATTACACAATAACCAGACCCGCCAAAATAGAGATGGTCAAGAAACGGAAGCTAAATGAAACAATGGACATTTAAAGAAATAACATAGGTTAAAATGATAGTATGTAACTCTTTTGCTATAAAGCGTCTTAACTCACCTGGTCAGAAACCGAGAAAATTCGCTGGAACGAAAGAAAGTGTTTTCATAAGACATAATTTATAGTCCATAGGATTGGTTCCGGACACCAACAAAATGGCCACCGTTTCGTTGTTTTGGAACACCAACATGGCTGCCGTGACGTCATGTGTAAACCCTATTTTATCATCAACCTTCAATCGAGGACTTAAAGAAATTGTTTGTTGATTATCCCTATTGACCGAAACCTATGCGATTTTAAATGAAGCAACCTGATTGAAACCTCGTTTTTCTTAAACCAAATTGATCAATTACAATGACACGGGACAACGTGATATACATGAAAAGACAAATTTTCTGTAAGTAACGTATATATAGATTACTTCATAGAAAGTGAGACGTACGGATTTGTATTCACGAGTTCCAAAGTTTTTCAACGAGTGAATAAAAATCCGTACAAAGCACTTTCTATGTTGTAATTTGTCTATTGTATATATAACGAGAATTAAACATATCCGTTAAATCAGTTTTAGTTTTCCCGGTAGCACAAGTTTACACGCAGAACAAGAACAAATTGAAAACTGATCTAAATGACCGAGCATAATAAAAATCAAATCTGTTTTCCAGTCCAGCAACAGGCGGACAAAGAGAGTACACAAGCTTAAATATAATACGGGAGAATTCGTAAATACATAGAGTGAAATCTTTTCGCAAGTCCCTAATCACTCTCAGATTTAAGGTCATTCCCCAGTATTGCATTACCCATCCTTACTGCGCATAACTTATGGCGTGATTAGCGCGCGCTCGTGCACGCGCATATTGAAAATATGACGGATTTGCCTTGATATTGAGCTCTATCAGTTGGAAAATGGCTCTAGCTCACCAACGAGCACGGGCACCCCAATTTTTTTTACAGTCATTGTGATCAACTAATCATAAGCTTTGCGTGAGNTGAATAAAAATCTGTACAAAGCACTTTCTATGTTGTAATTTGTTTATTGTATATATGACAAGAAGTAAACATATCTGTCAAATCAGTTTTAGTTTTCCCGATACCACAAGTTTACATGCAGAACAACAACAAATTCCAAACTGATCTAAATGACCGAGCGTAATAAAAAACACATCTGCTTTCCAGTCTGGCAAAAGGCAGACAAAGAGCCTACACAAGCTTAAATATAATACGGGAGAATTCGTAAATACATATAGAGTGAAATCTTATCACTCTCAGATTTAATCATGTAATGGCGACACTTCATGCTGTGCAAAGACAAATTCGGACTCTGACTCACACTGTCTAAATTTGAATGTTCCTCCTTGAATGTTGTTGACTTTCTGATGTTAAATTTACTTCCTCGGTTTCTTAAATGGCCATTGATTCTCAAACTGAAGTTCTAGCGCTCAAGATGTTGGATATATTCCACTGCTGTTTTTCCGAAAGTGAACTAAAACGGGAAGCCGAAGCCATGTTCTCGAAACATAACCTTCAAGCGGGCACTGATTTCAAGACCGTGCTTCTCAGAAGCCATTTGAGTGCTTCACTCTGATTGGCTGAGTGATTCTAATCTGAATGGTGACTGGTCATATTTTCACATGGGAAGAACGCTATACGCGAAGCTGATTGGACATATCGCTTTTTTCGCATGTGGAAATATAGCACATATAGAATTCTATTTGCAAGGTTTATTGCCTAAAATTCTCGCTATATGTACAATAATTTAATAAATGGAACATGAATAAAAGGTTTGCTCCACATTGTCCATTACTCCCAGTGAAGAATTGGGCTGTAGGGCTATAGTAACTGGAATTAAGGAATTCTCTTGTCATTTTCATTACCTCTAGCAATGATCCTGGTGAGACTGAAGGTGCCCAGCTAACAGCATTACAACCAATCTTAACAAGAAAAATAAAAGAACAATCATAATCAGAAACGAGTTATCAGATCTGAAGGGACATTTACCTGACAGAAAAATGGTACACAAGAAGTAGAAATCATATATTTAATATTTAATATTTTTTGATAGCTAGAATGGCTCTGACCGTGATTTTAACAGGCCAGTCTCAACGATGTACAGAACCTGTTTCTGACACATTTAGATACCAAAGAGGTCTACCACTGCTTGCAACCATCTCTGTTCTAGAACCAGTCACAGACTAATCTAGATTTATCCAAAATGTACCTGAACCTTACTATCTTAACTCAGTTACCTTAAGCTCCTACTCACATTTCTCTACAGTACAAAATAATTTTAATGTAATAATACAAGTTTGTTATGACAACTGTTACTAATGTAAATGCACCCCACATGTAAAGAAACTTTAATTTGGAACAGGCTTATTAACAATAATGTACTTGATCATTACAACACACAAGATCATAAATTTAGACCTTGCATGTGAACAGAACCAAGACTAACTCTTACTCATCTGCTACATCCTGACAGCTAATAACAGTGAGCAGATCAAGACAAACTGAGCAATGAGTGTTAAAAAGAGATGGACATGGATTTCTCACCGGCTGAGCTTGCAAAAGAGGTGAGTAATTAGGTTCTCACACACTGAAGCAGCTGCTGGGCCTGAGTTAGGAATATATTACGTGTCATGCTAGGTCTCATGACTCAGTTTTTTGTTTCTTGCCATACGAGCAACAGCTTTTCCCACCCACCCTTCCTTTGCCAGTCTGCGCTCATCTGATACATTCTAAGTATTGTTGATGTTCTGTTTTTTGCCTAGTGGCTTAGGCTTTGATGTTGCATATGTCGCATCCATTAGTCCTTGTAAATCCTGTTTTCGGGTTTGTTGTTTGTTAATAAAGTGCTGTTACCTTGTGTGGCAGACAAATGTCATTCAGTGTGTAAGAATGTTTGTTCTACTCTTCACGGCAGAATCAGTGACATTTTAAGCATTATCAAACTTACCGTATGTGCGTTATTTATTTTCTTTGTTTCCCACGTTCCATCACCTGAAAATGAAAACAACATGGCCTTTAAGAATTTGGAATCTGGAACAAAAGATTCCACTCTTGAAGAAAATGACAAAACACAAACCTGAACTACTTAAAATTGAGATAGAGCCATCTGATGAACCACAAGCTAACATCAAACCGTAGTCTGGAGAAGCCCAAGATATAGCGTTCACTGAAACAAGATCAAATTAGATCAGTAAAGGAAAAAATGCTTCAATTGCTTTTTATCACCGTTTGACATTTTGAGTGGGTATCCTGTAAAGAAGCTTTTTAGCTAAGCGGAGTGGTCATGTTAAATAAAGAATAGACCTTTCCCGCACTCCACTTCAGTGCGTACAAACAACAGCACAAGAGCGAGGCTGGGGTGGACATTTTCATACATTTACTGTATTTTTGTCCACCCTGACCTCGACTTGGCGCTATTGTTTGTT